ATATATATATATATATATATATATATATATATATATATATATATATATATTGTATATACAATATACAATAAATTAAGAATGCGTTCTCGTCATGCGGTTTATACTTATTCTCAATTACCGCTTGGTCCGTTACATAATTTATGTAGAAATACGTCATATGTAAAATTACTATATTTATAGTATTGTATATATAAAGATTTTTCTATATGTATTATAGTTTTGCAATTGCGCGATGGAAATATACCAATGAGGCAAACTTAGGACAGTACGAATTTTATCTTTTATATCCTTTGATTGCAGAAGGAAAGTAAAGAAATTTGATCGTTATGCTTCATATTGGCTTGCTGCTAATATTTGCGGAGGATCAATCTCGAGTCACACACACAGTGAAATGACAGCGAAATAAGTACATCGCATTCATTCGTTACACCGGTGGCGGTCCATTCGGATAAAAGGCAATCGGCGTAAAGCTCCTGGCGAGATTATTGGAGAGAGTACAACTGTAGTCCTCTTCTGCAGACGGTACCAATGATGCGATGCCAAGCAATAATAGCATTAGAGCTTGTATCGGTAGAGAAACTCTTAGGACTCTTCCTAGGAAGCGATATCCACGCACCAATACTGTTCGGTTGTTTTCGTCACCACTAAAACAAGTTTCAATAATGAAAAATTAAACAAAGTTTTCCGCTGGAATAGAGGTATTTTATTACGATCATTTTATTACAATAGGATTTTATTTATCAGAATAATCCGGGGAGAAAGATATGCTGCTGTGTAATATAATTTATACAGTGCCCTGATGGAAATATTCTGTTGAAATTATAGTATTTCCATCAGAGTGATCAAAAATTTTTGTATAAAGAAGAGTTATTTTAATGTTAATTTTATACTGTATTTCTTAAACTTCCTTTTCCTACAAACGTAATGACACCGAAGTGAGAGATCAGAAAATTGAAAGTAAAAATTAAAAGTAAAAATTATACATATTATAAAATAGAGAGAGAATACAATTAAAATAATTAAAAGGAACACAAAAATGTAAAAAAAACTTGATATTACTATGGAAAAATTTCCCCATATATTGTATTTCATTTTAATTATTTAATACATTTATCTGGGTATCAGTAATTCTTCTTTGTTACAATAATCAAAAACATCATTTTTGTTTTTCATAATAACATCAAGCTTTTTTATATTAAATTTTTTTACTTTTAATTATTTTAATTAACATCAAGATGGTATACATATTAAGGGATTGATGAACCGTAGGATTCTCTTATCTTTGCTGTGACACACACGCGCGCGTGCACGTGAAGAGATATAAATCCGGATAATTTCCATATACACTTTGGATATACGTACATTCATGCGTGCACACGCACGATAAATAAAGTTTTACCACAATGCTAGTCTACAAATATTATGCAATAAAAGACGAAAAAAGAAAATAACATACTTTGTGCTGGTAGTGTGAGGCTGATCAGTTCCAGAGGCAGCTTCGTCGAGTAGCTACAGTTTAACAAAACAGAAAACACAAACAATAAGATACTGTGCAAGTGATTACTACGGATAATTTAGGCGTAGAAGCGTCATCCCTCTTAATAAATAGAAAATCAAAATTTATGTGTTCTTTAATTATTGGACGAAGCTTCTCGCCTTGAAAAGTTAATTCGTGTTTTATTAACAATACATTGTGCAATAATTTACAATAAATACCTGTATAGAAATATAAATAAAAAAGCAAATATATCATTTTTTTTTTAGTGATATGAAGGTGATTATTGTAAAAACTATAAGATGCAATACCCGAATTTTTGTATACATCAATATTTAAAACTTGTATTATTTTTTAGGAAAGAGAAAAAAAGTAAGTTGAGAAAGAAACTTTTAATATACTGAAATGTCAAGATTATGATTTATGTTTAAACTAGTTCAACACGAATCGTAGTGATTAAAACTCGCTTTTTTTCTTAGGAAAAAAAAAAAAAACAGAAAAAATGCGCCTTCATCAAGAGACACAGTAGCGCGTCTCGTGCCAAGTATGTTTATCAATAACGAACTCTCCTCGTTAGGAAGACGTTATAGTGTATCAATATAACAGTTTTACTTGACGCAAAATCTTTTTTTAATCTTTAATTACCTTTGTTGAGAGTTTTATAATACTGTGTATATCAATGTTATCTACTATTATCTAGTCTAGATATATATTATATATATATATATATATATATATATATATATATATATATATATATATATATATATATATATATATATATATATATATATATATATATATATATATATATATATATATATATATATATATATATATATATATATATATATATATACGATTTTATCATGCGAAATCTGCTTCAAGATATATGTATAAGCTCGATAGAAATATTTATAGATTAATGAAATTATACGAAGGTCATTGTTTTAATTAGACATAAATTTATCAGTATAGATAATTTAACTTACGTCATGTGAAAGAGATGCGAGAGATGTTGATGTAGCGGCGAGACCAACATCTCGCGGGTCCAGCCCAAGAGCAGCTCCCAATTTAAGAGTATAGATACCGGTTAATCTTCTTAACGATTGCAATCTTAATCGTAGTTCCTGCAAACGTGTTCTAGTTTCCGCCTGTTCATCTAAAAGATGATTAGTCGCTTCTTGTAACGATATCACTCGCGGCTCGCAACGCTCAAGATCATTCCGCAATTCCCTAAAATAAAGATAAAATAAGAATTTTGTATGGTATAAAAATTTATACTTTTTAATATATCGCATTCATAAGTATTAATTGATACATCTATAATTTTTACCTAAATTTATTATATTTTACTTCTATAACGTTGGTAGATTCAGTCAGATCAATCGGTTCGCTGTCTCGAATACTGACTTCCGTGCGCTCGAGCCAAGCTAACAACTCGTCTATAATACGGTAAAATTGATGATTTGTCATGAGAGCATGTTGCAACTGTTCTTGCCATTGCACGGCAGCTGTACAAATTTTTTCCCATCTGTTGTTCGCCACAGACAATCGGTCGCGAAGCTCTTTCGCACGTTCCATATCCTCGGTATGATCGGCCAAATGAGCGCCGACTATGTTCAAACTTGTTACAATACTCTTGTGGCTGTCAAGATCAAGTAAAAATTCGCGATGATCTTGAATTACGTCTTCCAGTTGTTCTATGTCGCTGGGTGGCGAATGCTGTTCACTTTGCGTACCTTCAGCATACTCTAACCATTTGTCCAAACGCCAGAAATCATTGTCCAGCTGAGCCCAATTACGGCGAGAGCATAGTGGACAGGTCAATCTGCCATTATCGCTGTAAGAATTATAATTGCGATTATCACCTTTAATGTAGTGAAAATATATATTTTTTAATTATAATTTAAACAAATTAAATAAATATTTTATGAATATTATTTATTATATAGTTAGCATATATGCTTTATAAATATGACTTTTGTATGTCAAAATTGTAAATAACAAAATTTTTACCATTCGTTTAATATTTGCGAAGTATTAATATTTATAAAAGCGCGTTAGATTTATTATACATAAGCTTTATTACATTTATTGTACAGTAATTACTTTATATGTGTAATAAACATTTTTATTATGTATAGTAAAATATCTTAATAGGGTTTTTTAAAGATTTTTTAAAAATGCATCTCGTAATAAATCTCTTATAATAGCTCTTACTTTGGCAATACATTTAGAATTTTTATATGGTTAGTTACTCACTGATCACATGGAAAAGCGTAAGCATCGGTGATGGGCGATCTGTATGGAATAATGGATAGGTATTATTTTAATAGGTTTAACTATAAGCATTATCATCTGCATTAAAAAATTATACAAAGCAATATTAATGCGTTTATACTGGCGAAAAAAATTAAAAAATTGAAGCAATAGTGGAAGTGTTTACAAAACTGTTACAAATAGTACACTAATCGACCTTTATTATTTATTAGGTGTTAGTGGGATGGAAATTAAAAAAGATAGTGCATTGCGTCTGAGAATGGATGATATATTTATATATTTATAATTATCCGAAAAAAATGGACTTATGTAATTATATAAGATGATATATATATGGCTATATATAATCTTATGTCCATTTTTTCTCTTTTTCTCTTATATTTAATTTAATTATATTAATATAGGGAGTATTGAAAATTGTAGTACAAACAAAATGGAGGTGATTTTTCATGCAAATGTAAGTCGAAATTAAAATAGAATAAAATTTTTTCATACAAGATTTCGTTCTCGAGAAGATCGACTTTGAAGATCCGTCGAGCACATGAGCACTTGAATAATAACGAGAATCAGCACTCGAGGATCACGTTATACACAACTATTTCTGTTTGTTTTTGTAAACAATTGTAAACAATCAGTTCAAGCTTCTTTAATTCATCGAGCAATATTTTCAACGATTCGTAATTTAATAAAATAAATGCATTATTGAAACTTGTTTAAACATTGAAATGAAAAAAAAAACTTTACCTGAGCTCTCGGATTTGCTGTTCACGTGCTCTTGCTAATGCAATGAGTGTGTCGTATCGAGCTACTAGTGTTGTTACTTCGCTACTTTTAGCAACTCCTAAACTCAATTTGCCATTTTCCATGAGCAGAGTATGAAAGTGGCGTACCAGTTCTATTGAAGACTGGCAACTTCCAATCAGTTTAGCCTGCAATAGGCGCGTAAACTTATAAAAATTTTCACAGCAGAAAAATATCGAAAAACATATTTAACATTATTATTTTGCTCTAATTCATTTTTTGACTAGTTTTCATTATTCAAACACGCGATCACTTTAACTTCTGACGTTTTTTAATTTTATGACTTCCTCAATTTTCCATTTCTTAAATAAATCTTTACGATAGAAAAAGCAAATTGATATATTTGATTAAAATCATATTAAACCATACGTATATAGGCGCTCGTTCGAATTTGATTAAAATAAATGTGTCCATATATATGAACAAAACATAATAGAGTTAACTGATAAAAATCTTACGATAGTTTTAGCAGCTGCGTTGAGTCCAGGACCGGAAACAGGATCAGGTGTCACCGCCGCTTCCAGAGTGTTCAGGGAATTATTGCATTCATTCAAGGCAGCCTCTAGTTCCATCAGATAAGCATCGCACGAGGTCATTTTGATAAGTCTCGGTAGAGTATCTACCTGAACTGCGGTGTCTTGCTCGAATTTTAAGGTCTCTACTTGCACCGCTTCGTCAACTTCCGATCTCTCCTGCATCTCCAAGTCCGCTTTCAGCACGGTTACCCGCTCTTTGATATCCTTCCACAATAATTGATATTCGTCTACCAGTTCCTGAATCGCGGCCACGTCATCAGAATTGCTCTCCTGCATGACCCGCAACGCTAGCTCATCCGCCTTTCGCAGCGTGACATTTTGAGTGTCGAGCTCTTCCTCGATCTCCCTCAACTGCTGACGCCTTCGTCGCAGGGATGATTTCTGTTCGGGGGTAGCGAGATGCTGCATCTGCGTTAAGCGAACATCTACCTGCGTTAAGCCTACGACCGCGGCGCCATGCATGTATACGAATTCGCGATAAGTCTTCTGTTCTTGTTGGAGGCTCGGGATAATGGCATTGATTTTCATTCCAACAGCCAACCACCTATCGATGATCTTCCGCGTCTCGCTCGTGAGCGTTCTGAAATTATAGGGATCCAGTCCGGATTTGGCCAATCGTTCAAACGTTTGTTCGAGGATTTTCAAGGCTTTTTGATGCGCCTCGATATCTCTAGCGATCGACTTAGCTTTCTCCATTAACTTCTCTGATTCTTCCTTGGATATTTCGATAAAATTTTTCTCCAGCTCTGACAGAGAATTTTCCGTCTTGGATAGCCACGGTTCATACTCGTGTTTAGTTTTATCTAGTTCTTGCAGCAGTTTCCAAATCATTATAATTTTTTTCTTGTGCTCAGTGGACTTAACGCACACGGCTTTCCATCGTCTCTCTAGATAGTTCATACCGTTCTTTATTGCGTCTGTATTAAAAGAGGCTTTCCATGTGTCGCAATCGTTCAGCAGAATCTCGCATAGATTCAACACTTGGCTAATATTACCGCTCTCGGCCTCGATCGTGGTCTTGAGGTATTCGTGATCTTCGAGCTTCTTATCGATGCTTTTCTGCATGGGTTTCTCGATTATGAGAGTCTCTGATAACTGACCCTCGATGCCTGTCAACCAAGTTCGTAAATCAACTATCTTTTTTAGCAACGTATTCATAGTTTGAATTAGATCGATTAGCTTGTTAGCTCTCGCTTTGCCATCGATCATCAGGTGATTCCATTTTTCATTGACTTCGGCCAAGGATTGCTGTAGCTTTGCTTTCTCCGTCTCTTCAGCAATATCTATCAGCTCCTGCCCAGTATTTTGCAACCATTCGAGTTCGCGCTGCTTCAAGCTCATCTCCGCTTGCAGCTCACTTGCGAGTCGCTTCACCGTCTCCTCAGGCTCGTCCAACGCTATTGTGTTGTAATCCTGCATTCGGAGCGTGGTGTCCTCCATCCATGACAAAAACTTGTTTAGCCTATTTTCCCATCGACCATGAAGATTGCAACGTTCTGCAAGTCTGTACGCTAGCAGGGCTAATTGATACTCAAGGTCGCCGTATTGTTGCGATAGAAGTGCATCGTGCTGATTTAGCGTCTTCATGTCGCTCGGGCTTAGACATTCTCTCAACTGTTCCGTGATGACACCGAGAGATTCGAGATTGCGTTGTGCATCAGCCAGACGAATTCTTAAATGCTGAAGTGAGTCTAATTTCTCCTTCGTCTTGAATAGGCTCATTGGTTTCGCGTGAAAGGCCGCACTCAGCGTCTGACTGATTTCTTGGAAGATCGTAGTGATTACACTGGACTGCTCGATGTGTTCTTCATACAGCTTCTGCACTCTCTGGACAAAATCTCTCCAGGTCTCGAGGCCGGCGCGCAGATTGGCAATCCGTTGCGCATTCGCGGCGTGTTCCATGCGTATCGAGACGGCCAGCGCCTCCTCGCAATTAGTCAGGAGGTACTCTTGCTGCTTTTGAAGACACTCTATCTGAGTCTCGCCGGTTGGTACCTTATCTAACAACGCCTGAATTCTCTGTAGGATCTTGTCGAGCCGTCTCAGGTGAATAAACTGCAGGTGCAAACGTTGCCGTTCTCTCTCAACTTCTTTTAGCCAAGCTAGTAATTTACTTTGATCTAGCCTGTACTTGTCCCAGGCCGATATTCTGTCGCGCACCACCGCGTGTCGTTCTAGTATTCTCGCCAATGTCTCGTTGTGCAGATTTGTCAAAGCGTTGAATTGCTCGGCGACTGATCTGTCAAGCTCTTCCT